CTTCATCATAAGCAGTAGGAAGCAACAAGGAGCCCTGAGGAAGTCACAGGAAGCAGCCACATCATTTATAAGAAATACACAGGAGCCAGGTAGCCTAGGCATGCTGGAGTCACTGTCCTGATTTCCTAAAGCTGCTCTGAAAAGTTCTGAGGGAAGGAAAGCATGGTCTCCTAGAAGGAAATTGGAGAGTGGGAACTTCTAATTTTGGGGACCATGGATTCTTTTTGTCTTTTTAAAACTTTTTATTGAGTTTTTGTGGATTTCACATCATGCATCCTGACACCACTCATCTCCCTGTCCCTTTGCCTCTACCCTCTGCCCTTGCCACCTGCCCCACCCCCAAACAAAATTTAAAAGTAAGACCAAACAAACAAACAAACCCCAAGTAAAACAAATTTCGGCCTGGAAGCTGTAGTGTGGCCCAGTGAGTCACACAGATACCCTGTAGTCCCTCCATCTTGTAAGTGTTCATTGCAATGAGCCATTGGTCAGGTTCGAGGCCTCTGGCTTCTGCTACAGCCTTGACACTAGGCCCTCACTGGGACTCCTCTAGGATATCCTGTTGTTGCCTTGTGTCATGGAGATCCTGCAGCTTTGGATTTATAGGTTTGGGGAACCGTGGATTCTATACCCAGTGCTGGACAAGCTTTATTTTTTGGCTACCCAGAAGTCATTTACCCCACTTCCACTAACAGGGTCTTAGGGATCCACCCTTCTACCCACTGGAAAGCTAAGAGGAAGGGGTGAAGCCTGCCTTCTTTAACTGCAGAGACGGACAGGTGACCCAGGCCTAAGACGACTCAGGACCTCCTGTTCTCATTGCCAGTGGCTGGTTGAGGGATCTGTCCCTGAGCCTCAGTGGGACTTCTGTGTGAGCATTTCCAAAAGAGAACCATGCTTCTCCATGCTGGGCTTGTACCTGCTTTCTGCTGTCTCCATGTTCCTAATAGAGAGGTCAGAGCTGCCGGAGATGCAGCTCAATGCTAGAGGGATTTAATGCTAGCTCACTGGACCAAGAATCGCCAGACTGGAGATGGGTACTTATACCTCACAGTTCCAATCGAGGTGGGAGTCCTCCTACTGACCCTCTCAGCCAGGGGCTGGGGAGATGGCCCAGTCGGTAAAGTACCTGCTGTACAAGCAATGGACCCGAGCTTGGATCCCTGACACCTATGTGTAAGTAAGGTGTGGCAGTATATTGCAGAGGTGTGACGGTCATTGAAAGGCTGAGTGGGCATGGCAGCTTACCTATAATTCCAGCACTCCCAAGGTGGAGATGGGGAACCCTCAGAGCTAGACAGACTAGCCATTCAGAAACTCTGGGGTCTCCTGAGAGACACTGTCTCAATGAATAAGATGGAGAGCACTGGAGGGAGACTCCCAGTGTCAATCTTGGACCTTCACAGGCATGTGAACACATACACATACGTGCATGCACATACAACACACTCGAAAAACAGGAGAGTGCATTTAAAGTAATAGTGGGAGAAAACAAAAGCTCCTCATGCGCCTCATTTAATTCACACTGTTCAAAATCCAGGTGACACAGCTCTCCTGGAGTGACGGGAGAGACTGAGAATGACGAGTGTGTCCAAGGTACTGAAACCAAGAGACAGAGAGAGCAGCTGGGCACAGGGTTGGAACACTTGAATCAGTCATTCCTGGTGGGAGCCAGCCTCTGGAGTTTGCTGTGCCCTGGGGTCTACCTGGTTTACTTGTTGTTGTTGTTTACATTTATTTATTGTGTGTGTGTGTGTGTGTGTGTGTGTGTGTGTGTGTGTGTGTGTGTGTTTGGGGGTGCCACTGCTGGAGTGTGGCTGTCAGGTGGCAGTGAGAGCTGTTTTTCTCATCCTACAGTTTAGGTTGGTGGAGGAGGATTGAACCCATTTCATCAAGCTTAGCAGGAGGTGGCTTTCCCAGCTGAACCTTCTCGACTGCCTATTGGGTGACATTTTCTCCCATTGCCCGAAGAAGTCCCAGACGACAGTTTTTTTTGTCACAGGGGAGGGTAGTGGTTCTTAGCACATTCCCAAAGGAAGAGGGAGAAGGAACTAGCTGGAGCCAGGATCCAGCCACTTGAGTGGTCCTGCCCTCTAGAGCCAGGCCAGTGTACCCTGTGCACAGGAAATGTCTGCAGCCACAGAAGCTGGCATTAACTGGCACTCAGGAGATATTTGTTGAATGGAAAGCAGCAGGAAAGTTATAACAAATCATACTTTACATGCAAATTTTTGGGAATATTTTCAGGGAAATACTTAATGTGTGAACAGCTAATCTGCATTTCCATGTCCTGACAGATGGCCCATATTAACAGAGTTCTGAGTATAGTAAAAATAAATAAATAAATAAAAGAAGAAAGAAAGAAAAGGAAGGAAAAAAAAAAGAAAACCTACAAGTATTCATGGAGCGGGTACTGTGAGCGAGGCTGCACAAAGCAGTGTGCTCTCCGACTCTCCCACTTATTGTTAAAAAGAAAAAAGACAACCTGGAGACATTCCCATCTGTCAAAAATGACCCCAAGTGTTGTCCAGAGGAAGAAAGTGACCCTTAGGACTTGCATGGGTGGAGTAGAGCTTTTTTCTTGGGAGATGGTTCTAGGTCCCAAATGTCTAATGCTGCATTCTCAAAATGAACCAGGGACCGGCTGCATCAGCACCTGTGGGACTGTAGATCACCAATGCAGTCTCCTCCCAGATTACATTTGCAGAACCAGAACTTCTACGGTCAGGGCCCAGGAATCTGCATTCAAATCATCTTCTCAGAGGTTGAAAACCTGTACCTGGTACAATCAATTCGTGTGCCCATGGGTCTCCCCAGTGCTTGGGGACACTGAGCACAGTCCCATCGGGGGTGGCCTTTTGGAGAAAGAAGCCTTGTTCCTAGGCGCAGAGGCTGAAGGAGGCCAGGGTCCGGTGAATTGGCATCACCTTCCTTGAGGTCAGGGCCAGTTCAGGCCATGGTAGAGGTGAGGGCATGTCACCGGATTTTGTGTGGGAGCATTGCTATGCCCAGAGCTTTATACCCAGACCCAACACAGGTTGTAGCTGATGAACCTGGCAGACTCCTGGGGCTTTGCTACTGTCTAGATGATAACACAGTCTAGAACTAATTATGCACATCTTATGTGGCCCTGGAGGGTTTCATTTGGAAGGGATGTTGCTTAACAGACTATTGGCCGTTAATCCCCTCAGGGTGAAGATAATGACCCTACCTCTTTGGAGCATTTGCACCTTCCCCAAGCCTCTGTCATAACAAGGCACCCTTCAGACTAAGGGCTGACCTTCCCTCTGCTGCCTTCCTCAGTCCTCAACCATGGGACTTCAGCACACTTGATCTTGGGGCTAGAGTCAATTTGCTTAGGCATATTTGTGTCCCTATGCCCTGACCACAATAATTGGCCCATGGGTGGACAGTGACTTCAGCATTGTGAGCAGAGTGACCTTCGTGACTGGGAATTTTCAGTCATAGAGCCTATTTGGTGGTGAGGAATGAGGAAGCGTGTGGTCCCAGCCGCTCTTGGCAGGCTTCCTATGGCTTCCCAAGAACAGCGTGGCCAAACATGGGGACAACAGGAAGAAACAGCCAAAAACAGAGGTCAGAAAGACAAAGGCCTGAGGGTATCTTTGAGGCTTTGCTAAATATTTTCCTGAAGTCTTATTCACTCCCGAAGTGAGCAGGGTTTTGTGCCCATAAATACAAATGTTTGGTTTTGCTAAACTCAGTTTGACTCAGAGTTTTGTTACCTGGTACTAAACATGTCACAAGACACGCCCCATCCTCTTTGACCCCTCTTCCCCCCTGCTCTTCAACTGGAAGCAAATATTAAATAACTACCCATAAAGCACACTGAGACCCAGTGGTGGGCTCTCTGGATTCACAGCTTGTTGAGACTCCATGCTCCAAGAATATTGATTAATGGATCAATGTCAGTCCGGAGGAAGCCCTGTCCTGTTCAACATTTTAATCAATGACTTGGATGAAATGGGAGACATGGTTAGCAAGTCTCAGATGACATGAGCTGGAGGAAATGCTAATATGACAGATGGCAGAATCCAGATTCAAAATTATTTTGACTGATGGAACAGTAATAAGGAGAAATACAAACTCTTGCATTCTACTCAAAAGATCAATCTGTATAAGAGGGGTACTGGGGAGACCTGGATCAGCAGTTGTCCTAACATCAAAGAACTTGAAGTTGACCATGCAGGCTCATATGGAGTTAAACACTGGGGCAATTAGTAGCAGTTATTCAGGTTTCAAATATTTATGAAGTGACTTGGAGAAGGAAGACTACCTTTGCCTCCACTCCCCGGTAGGACAAAGAAGTAGACTTTTCTAGGAAGCAGTTCCTAGGTCTAACACTTCCAATAGCAGAATGAGCCACATTCCAAAACCGTGACTGTTGACTAATGACATCAGAATATAATGGACAAGATTCCATTGTGGGGACTTCCTTATTTAAAGTACAGACTTTTAAAGCGATTCAAGGCAGTGCACACAGCAGCATCCTGAGAAAGCAGCCCAGCTCTACCCCCTTGGAAGGTTGCTGCGATCTACTACAGAGGGGCCTCATCTCCAAGGAACCCCCAGACCCCGCCTGTGCTTGGGGCTCTCAGCCCCATTCTGTCTTCTTGTCTGGTTGTAGTTCCTCCTCTGCTCTCTCCTTCCTGATCCCTCTGGTGTCCCGGGGCTACGCCTGCCTCCGGACGCGGCCCCTTCGCTGACTCCCCTCTCCTGTCTTCACAGAGGCCTCTCCACAGTCAGAGCATGCCATAACCAGGCTCCTTCCCTAAGGCTGCCCTTTGACCCCCTACTCCTTCCTGGCCTCTGCAGGCCTCCAGAGCCAGTCTTGTGGGCTCTTTCCTTTCCTCTGAACACCCCATTTTACTTGCTAGCCCAGAGAGATGGTGAAGGTGGGTGTGACCTTATTTTATCTTACAAACTTAGAATGTGGTTTTAACAAGTTTTTAAGCGAAGTTTCACACACATGCTGTACTCACATGCTTCTCCATGAAGAGGTCCACCTCTTTCAGAAGTCTCTCCTGGCAGTCAGGGTGGGTGGCCAGCAGGTATGTGATGAAGGAGAGTGTGTTAGTGATGATCTCATGGCCAGCGATGAGGAAGATAAAGGCTTGGCCCACAATTTCATCCAGGGTTAAAGGCTTAGACATGGACGTAGGGTGGCTTCTTTGGGGAGGGTCCACGGTGCACTTGGTAGAGGACAGGGCTTCTGTGACCATGTCAAAGTCTTCCACACCCACAGAGCTTGTGGAGTGCCGGGCATCCAGCACCATCTGCAGGAAGTCTTTCTGCCTCTGAGGACAAGAGAAGAAAAGGCACATTAGAGCCACAGAATGAGGCTGGAGGACAAGAGAGGAGACTCCTGGGTGGAGCCCCTGAACAGCTCAGGAGGAACAGGTTCTTGTCACTGGGTTATTTGAGATGGTGAGAGCCTGGTGGCCTCCTGAATGACCCTCAGGACAGCAGCGAGGGGCAGACCAATGCACCCATGAAAAGATGAGGCTGTTGCCTTCTTTGCCATTGTACAGACTTAGGGAGCAACAGTGTGACAATTTAATGCATGCAATGTGAGATGGTGAGAGCTGTCTTCCATATCTATCATGTGTGCATTGTGTGTCTGGAGCCTTCAAACTCTCCTTTTGTAGTTGTTCACGGAACAGTCACACCTAGCTGTGAGTATAGTCAGCCTACTGAGCTGGAGAACACCAGAACTTAGTCCTCTTACTCATCGGGGTTCAGGTACCCCACCACCTTCTTTCCCTTTCCCTCATCCTCCCCAGCCTCCAGGGACAATCATTCTCTATTTCTGAGATCAGATTTGCAGCTCCCACATACCCAGCATTCTGTGTTGGTTTTTCTGTTCCTGACTTACTTCATTTAACATAATGTCCTCCAGTTTTTATCCATGTAACTGAAAACCAACAGATTCCATTCTTTTATAAGGCCAAATAGTATTCTATTGTGTTTATGTACCATACCACCTTCATCTATTCTGGATGAGGCCATTCCATCCAGGCTGATTCCTACCCGACCCCAAAACGTGCTTGAAATAAAGCAAGTTTTAGTAATACAGTGGAATCTCATTCTTCAAAAACAGTAAGTGTACAATCTAGAGAACTGTGTGTATTCTTCATGTGTAGTCAACATTGGTCACATCTGTATTCAGCAGATCCCTAGAGCAGGAGGAGGTGGGAAAACCAAGGTCTTTTAGTTTTGATTAACACTTTCTACACGTTTGTACTGTTGGCTGAATTCCCAATGAGAAAACACCTGATAGATTTAAATCAGAGCACATGTCTACTGTTTATCATGCAAGGACATAGTGGGCAGCTATAAGTTTTCTCACACAGTAGAGAGACAACAGGATGGGATGGGGGCATGTAGTGGGGAGCTGCCTTGTCTTCAAAGTCCCCAGACTTGGCAGCCTGCTTCCTATGGAGTCCCTTTTTTCTCTTCAGTAATCCGCAATCTCCTTTGAGTGGGTAAAGCCTTCTTATCATTTCTCCTACCTTACTTATCAGTAATTTGCATATCCTTTACATTTTGACTACCACTAATTCTAACTATAGGAGTGTTTACCCACTGCTCTGGCATTCACAAAGTGTATTCCCAACACATCCTTTCTTTGAAATGTCCTTTAATGTGATGAATGACAACCAGGATGTTGCTCTTTTCTAAAGTTTATGGGATTAAAACAGCAAGAGGAGAGTATCAGAACCTCCGACAGGAAAATATTATAATTTCAAAGTACTTTCCTAGTTGCAGCATTTTCTCAATTCATTGGCTTCTGAATTTCTGTTGCATGAATAATCTATGCCCCACACATCAGCATGTAATTCCATCTTTTAAGTTTGTTGGCATTTCATGTGTGGCTACTTTTTCTGCTCCATGAGATGAAAAGCAACCCCAGGGTGAGACCCTCCTCTTTCCCCCACCTGAGCGCATATTAAATGCGCAATAGAATCTTCTACAAATCAGAATGTAAGCAACAGATGCCCTCAGGGATGGGTGCATCGGGTTTGGTTTCAACTGTTCAACTACTGTTGGGAGCAGGAAGCCTTTGCTGATGAACAGGTGGTTACCTTCAAAGGTGTCTGCTGGGAGCCCGGCAGGGCTCACCACTAAAGGTTCACATACATCGAGGCCAAGGAGGCAAGGTCTCTATTTCCCACCAGCCTGTTCCCACTTGGATAGCAGAGAAAAAGGCTAAGCCTGGGCTTCCTCACTCTTCCCCGACCCTGCTCATTTTTCTGTCCCAACTTCCTCACTGTCATTGGTCAGCTTCGGGGTGGCAGTTGTGGTCCCACTGCTGACATGTCACAGGGGTTAGAATAAGATGGTACAGGGGAACATGATATCTGAGGCTCCCTGGGTGCCTGGATGTGACTAGAGAAGTGAAGTGAGCTTCCTCTTAGGCCTCAGGGCACAGTTTAGTCCCTGAGGCTTGGCTGTAGCTTTTCTTGGGTGGAGGAGGGTGATGACCAGGCAGCTCACAGCCGTACCCACACCATGTATTTTTCCAGAAGCAGCATGGTGGCTGGCATTTTCCCCTTTTATCCCAGCCCAGCCAGACTGCTAAAAGGGCTGGTGAAGTCTTGCAGAAATCTGTCTTAACTGCCAGCTAATGAGGCCAGGGGAAAGGGCCTCTCTCTAGGGCTCATGAGCTAGAGAGGAACATTAGTGCAGATGGGATTCTTCCGTTCACAGAGCATCATGAAGGCCATGCGAAAGCTGCCCATTTAGGATGGAAACAGGGCTGGTTTATGGTTATATCCAAGAAAAATACATGCCCTGATAGATGTAGGTGTCTAATCCGCCCATCGGCTAGAGCTTAGAAAAATATTTACCTTTTAACATCTGTGTGGCATTTTCACTGTGCAAACACACATCTGTTTGATGGAATGTATACAGAGTTCAGATGGGTTCTAAGTGAGTTTTCTTAGTAACTCTATAGCTCTGTCTTGACACAGGCAGCCCTGCATTTGTGGTTGGGAGGTTTTTCTCAGATCAACTCATTGTTTGAAACAAATAGCTGTAAAGTTTATAAAAGGAAAAGCTTGAGGCAATCCCAGTAATTGGCTCTTTAATAACCTCTCACCTCTTAGTCACTCAGTGCAATGGTTTTTGGGTTTGCAGCCTGGTTCTACAGCAAGTAGATTTCAGGCTTGTGTGTGTGTGTGTGTGTGTGTGTGTGTGTGTGTGTGTGTGTGTGTGTGTGTGTGTGTGCAAGCTCTCACAGGGCAGCCCTTTGCAGCAATGATGAGGTTTGAAATGGTTCTTTATCTTGTCCTTTAGACCTCTTCCTCACAGCCCAGAAACATAGATTTGAATGAAATTGTCCTGTCCTTTCTGTCTGCTTCAGAGTGGGGCTGGGTATACTAGATGGCCCATTTTTCCCCACCTCTAAGGGCATTTGAGTGGAGCTGATGGTGGTGTGGGCCAAGGGGTTGAGAGCTTATATATACTTCCCCACACCTTCCCTATCCAGAAAAAGTGGCTGCACAGTCCCCAGGGTGTGTAGCTGAGTAGGACAGGCTGCTGCCCAAGGCTGCTAAGTGCATCAAACTACTAATTGACTCGGATTTCATTCTAGGCCAATGCCTTAACCATCAGGCCTCGTGAATCCCTCTGAGTCACTGTCTTTCAGAAAACCCTTTTAAAGCTCCATCTTGCTCAAGGCAGTAAAGGGAAAGCCCTTTTAGTCCATTTTTTTTTAATTTTAGTAACTGTCTTTCATGCAGCGAGACCCCTAACGGACACCTTTAACATGGGCAGGAGCATCTCCTGAAGCTGAAAGATTATTTCTCACACTGAAAACACCATTCTACTCAGAGTCAAGCTCAACCAATATTTACTTATCCCTACTATGTGCCAAGCAGAGTGTAAGCCTGTAAGGGAAAAAGGAAACAAAGGGGTGTAACAGAGCAGAGGCCTCAACCACAAATTTTCTAGCAAGAATCTCCGTGTTGAAAGAGTGTGGGATTGATTGACAGTTGCCCAAACTTCTTGCTAATATTTATGCTCTTCATGCTATGAATTCCCATCTTTCTATTTCTCAGCAGAAAGACTATGCTCATGAAAATTACATGAGGCACTTACTTAGAAAATCTGGGGGTGGGGTTACTGCAACCTGTGCTTGGGGTAACATCTAGGTGGTGTGAGACAGTTCGGGGGCTGGCATTCATTCTACAACTCACACCAGGAACAGGCACATTGCTGGGGGCTTCCCCCTACCATTCTTTCCTCCCTTCCTTCCTATTGCTTTCCACTGGCCCCCAGAAGCTCCGAATGGGGGACTCGGAAAAGACAGCCCCATGCGATGTGAGGGGCTGGGAGGGTGGAGAAAGGAAGGAGAGAGTGACGCCAGATTAGGTTCCATTCTGTTTGCAGGCTGCATCCTATTAAAATAGTTACCTCTTCTGCTGCTTGCTGGTCCCGTAAGGCAATCACATTCCTAATGAGTTTGTTAAAAAAGCCATTCAGTTCATCTCGGTTCTTATTGGGCAGAATCCGGGCCAATGGGACCATTATGGATGGAAATGATACTTGAAAGAGAAAAACAAAAGTGGCATTGAAGGGGGAGTGATAATGAACCAGGGCTATTAGACTCCTGTTACTCGGAAGCAAGAGCCAGTCTTGAATCAGAGTCGCTTGGGAGGCCCGTCTTCCCTACAGACTCAGCGTTTCCCATAGTAGGGTTGGATCTGACTTGAACTCTGCTCTCTAGCCCATTCCCCACACACAGTAAGCCCTCGTTAAATGCCTGTGCAATAAAGTGACTCCTCATGTGTCCCTGGCCTTGCAAACCCAATTTCACACTTGGAAATCCCTATTGTCAATCCCAGATGTGTGTGTGTGTGTGTGTGTGTGTGTGTGTGTGTGTGTGTGTGTGTGTGTGTGTGTGTGTGTGTGGTGGTGGTGGTGGTGGGGTCTTTGCAGTTCCTTAGGACAGAATAGGTGACTGGCAGTGTGTCAAGCCTTCACAGAGGGTAGAAGTATGTCTACTGTATTAACTTTCTGGCCATTTGTATTTGTCTTTCTCTGGATGAGTGTCCCCACAGCGGTCACTTGAATTGTCCCTGAGACATGCTGTTGCAGCTCCTGACAGGAATGCTGGCTCCAGCCACTGTGGATATTCCCCTGTCTTAACAACATGCAGCCTGGGCCCTTAGGACAGGCCTCCCTGGATCAAGACACTTGAGAGCTCCCTGTGAGAGGTGCTGGGCCCAGGGGTGAGGGCTTGCCCCAGGGGCACGTGACTCTGCTTAGATTCTCAGCTTGTACACAACCGTCTGTGTTGAGTCGGGCTGGAGGCGGTAGATCCCGACACTCACACACCTCGGCCTGTTTAGACGTACAGAGAGCAGGGGCCTTGTTAATGGAACTCCTTGCCTCGTAGGACAGAATGTCTGACGGCTAAAGGTGCATAGGAGGGGTAGCCTTAGCCCCCGCAGACCTCCTGGACACGAGGACGGAGGCTGACTGACCCACACAGATGCCTACAGTTTCAGTGTGCTGATGATGGAGGTGAGAGGGCTTCCCACAGAAACTGGCTCAGAGATGAGGGGAAAAAAAGTCGGCGAATGGGCCGTAAGTCCGACATGCAGGAGGGGGAGGCAAGAGGGTTGTTCACTGGAGACCAGACAAGACTGTGTAAAGAAGACCTGGTCTCAAAAAAGGAAGAGGAGAGGAGGAAGAGGAGGAGGAAGAAGTGAGGGAAGAGGAGGAAAAGGGGGGAGGAATAAATAAGAATGAAGCGGCCCAGCTGCGTCTAGACTGTGCCAGTGTGACAGAGAGGTTGAGAAGTGTGGGGCCCGTCTCCATAAAGTGGGAAGAGACCGGAACTGGCCAGAGGCAAAGATTCCCTTGAAAGTCAATGGACTAGTCTTGTTAGAGTTAAGCCTCCTTCCAATGACCCATTGGGTGGTTTCTAGTTTAGGAGTCATTGGCTTCTGGTAGAGAAGTCCTCAGAAGAGGATTTTGAGTGAGGGGGAAAACAAACAAACAAAAAAACCCAAAAGGCAAAAAGCCCTAGGAAAGGAGAGACTTTGGGTTCTAGCCTTGACTTTGCCTTTCTATGCATCAGTTTTCTGATCCTGGTGTGACAGAGGCCAGGGTTACCTGTACTGGTGATAAGTCACCCCAGATTGTGACAGGAGGATTCTGGTGGCCCCAGGAAGAAGAAGTCTTTACAAGTCAACTCTCAGAGACCCCCGAGGGACCTTTCCTAGTGGAAGGGACTCAGCCCTGCAAGCTGTCCCAGGGGTGGTGGTCTGGTCTCCTCACCCTGGGTAGGGGGTGCACTCACAGATTAAAGCCAGGAGGGGCCTGGGGATACAGAAGGCAAAGAAACGCCGGCAGTGTTGCACAAAGGGGTGTTCCGGAGCGTTCTGGGAGTCCACCTGGGTGCCAAAGGCCACACTGGCCACCACGTTTGTGGTGTAACAGCAGTAACACCTGTGGAGAGAGAAGCGTTGGAATTTGACCTTCCCACAGTGCACCCCTCCTGGTCTACATGGTTGGTCTTAGCACCGCAGAGGGACTGCCCGCAGATCTGAGCCAGGTAGTGGAAGGGAAGGTTCCCGGATGCGCAGCCACAGCAGAGTATGAGCGGAAGCCTTTCTGAGGAGCTATAGGAGAGAAGGTGAGGGCAGGCATCACTGACTCAAGCCTTAGAAGAGAGCTGAACATCAAGGTGTGTACCTTCCAGGGGAGGGGGCCTTCCTGTGAGGAGGGAAACAGGAGCCCCAAAGCCTAGGGACTTGAACCCCCATGCATGTACAGCCCTTCTCAGGCCAGAATCTAATGATTAATTGACAGCTGTCAAATTGGCATTGATGAATGAACGTTATTTGCTCATTTTATTAACTCCCCTCCCTTCTAATGGATTTGGAAAACTGTTTTGTTTAGTTTTCTTTTTCTTTCTCTCTCTCCCTCCCCACCTCCCCTTATCTTTTTGGAGATGTCTGTAACCCTGGCCAGCCTCTGCCTTTCCTGTGCTGGGACTAAAAGCATGTTCCACTACACCTGATAACTTTGCAGTTTTTGAAAGTGCAACAACCAAAGCGAACAAAAGCAAGGGTTCTTCTCCCTCGAATGGATAGCAGACAAAAGTTGGGGAAGGCTTCCGGGATCTACTTATATTATTACTGAAAACGCACATTGTCTTTTCTAAACAAAATGAAATGTGTCTTCTAATAGCCATAGAAAACTTAACCTCAGGATAGGAAGCCTGTCCCTCCCAAAGGCCTTTTTTTTTTTTTTTTTTTTTGGTTTTTTCGAGACAGGGTTTCTCTGTGTAGCTTTGCGCCTTTTCCTGGAACTCACTTGGTAGTCCAGGCTGGCCTCGAACTCACAGAGATCCGCCTGGCTCTGCCTCCCGAGTGCTGGGATTAAAGGCGTGCGCCACCACCGCCCGGCCCCAAAGGCCATTTTAAACTAACATTCTTCTTTGATAGGACGTTAGGTATTTATTGTTATTGTGTACACGCACATGGTGTGTGTATGTATGAGTGTGTGCACAATGGGGGCATGCTGCCACGGTGCACATCACATGTCTGTCCTTCCTTCCACCTTCCACCCTGTCATCTCCATCATCAGCACATTGAAACTGCACGCGTTTACATGGGGGCGGTCGGCCTCTTTCTTTGTGTGGTTTTTGAGGATCAGGCTTGGATCACTAAGTTTTCCAGGCTTCCCTTGACCTCTGAGCCACCTCATCAGTCCTGAGACAGAAGAGGGCAACAGATCCCATTATAGATGGTTGTGAGCCACCATGTGGGTGCTGGGAATTGAACTCGGGACCTCTGGAAGAGCAACCAGTGCTCTTAACTGCTGAGCCATCTCTCCAGCCCTCTTTTTGTTTTCTTGCAGGCATTGCCATCTTCAGGTCATTTTAAGGACGCTAATAACTGGGTTATTAATATTCTTCTATAATTATAACGTCTGTGTGTGTCGTGGATACAGACACATTTAGATCCTCTTCTGCGTGAGTTCTGCAGCCACCAGCTCGTCAGTGGAGAGTAAATGCAAAAACTATGCCTGACTACTGAATGCCGTTCCACCAGACCCTCATACTTAATGAGTCCAGAGACTGAAGAGTCATTTGCTGTGCTTCACTCGCTGAGGAGGCCCCTTATCTTCCTCCACCTTCTGCGCCATCTGAGAGAGTGCGGATGAGGAGCTCTGTCAACAGTTGGACACAACGTAAATGTTGGCGTTGGCTATGCTGTGATTTTGTTAGCAGTGATAACTCTGAGTCAGCTGTGCCTGCTCTGTGGGCATTCTGGTGCCAGCCTGCTGCCAGCCGTGACTGAGCAGAAAGCATCGAAAGGTGGCTACGAGAAAAGTCAGCCACTTGAATCGCCAGCTGTGTAGACCTAACATCACTCTCCTGCCCGCCACTGAGCTGTGGCTGCTGCTGTGCATAAATGATCCACTACTCACTTATATATTAGTTCATTTAACTCCATCGAGCATTGAATCTAGGGCCTTGTACATGCTAGGCAAGCACTCTATTCTACTGAACTAGATTCCCACCTATCCCCCACTTTTATTTATTTATATATTTTTAGAGATGTGGTTATTTATTTTGTGTGTATATGTGTTTGCTTGAGTGTATGTATGTATACCACCACATGCCTGCAGTACCCCTGGAGGCCAGAAGAAGGCTTTGGATACCCTGGAACTGAGTGACAGACAGATATGAACCACTTGACATGGTGATAGGAATTGAACCCACATCTTCTGGAAGAGCAACAAGTGCTTTTAGCGGCTGATCCATCTCTCCAGCCCCTCAACTTTTTATTTTGAGATAGGGTTTCACTAAGTCACCCAGACTGGTCTTAAACTCACTCTAGCCCATTCAGGCCTTGAACTTGTAACCTTCCTGCCTTTGTTTCTTGAGCAAGTCAGATCATATGCCTTGCTTACATAATTTTTTTTAATTTTTAATTTTTTTTGAGACAGGGTCACAGGTATCCCAGGCAGGTCTTGAATTCCCCATGTAGCCAATATCCAGAATACGGAGCTACAGGTGTACAGTAACATGCGAGGTATCATGTGGTGTTGGGGATTAATCCCAGGGCTTTGTACATGCCAAGCAAACATTCTATCAACTGAACTATAGCTTCAGCCTCATGACTCACTTTTTTTTTTTTTTAAGACAGGGTCTCACTGTGCAACCCTGGCCTGGAATTCACTATATAGACCAGGCTGGCCTCGAACTCACAAAGATCCACCTGCCTCTGCCTCCCGAGTGCTGGGATTAAAGGCGTGCACCACCACCGCCCGGATCACTTTTTTTTTAAGACAGGGTCTCACTGTGCAACCCTGGCCTGGAATTCACTATATAGACCAGGCTACCTTCGAACCCACAGAGATCTACCTGCCCCTACCTCCCAACTGCTGGGATGAAAGGCATGTGCCACCACATCTGGCCTCACAATTTTTCTTGATGTGAAAGCATAGGTACTTTCCCCAAAGTCCCTGTCCTTTCTGCTATGGCATGTCTTGCCCATTTTGTCCACGGAGGTCAGAGGACAGGTCTAGTCAGGGACTAACCACTGCCTATTTGGAGTCTCCTCAGCAGGCGACATCCCTGACTCGGGTTGCTTTGTTTCTTGTTTTAAGTGGGTTTCTCCTCATTAGTCAGCCCATCCATGCTCTTGGGAACATCTGCCATTTCCAGTTTGCTACTCCCCAGGTAATTGTCCAGCAATTATGTACCGTCACAAGAACCAGCCACTCAGGGCTGTGACTTCTCACCTGTAATGGAGCAGCCTTACCTCTGGATGTCGAATGTGTCTCTTGATGCTGCATAGTGTTTTAAGTGAGCCAGGAGACGTTCACAGGCTTGGCTGATGAGTGGTGTCATCTGTTAATAGATAGCAGAGGTGCAATTAGGGCATCGTGCCTAAATCGGCTGCAGATGATGAACAAGGTTACACGCAGTGCTTTCTGGGAAAACAGACCGTATTTCAGAGGTACTTTGCACGAGGCTAAGATTAAGGAAGTATCCACAATATCTGTAAATCCAGTGTCTGTAAAGACCTATTTTAAGCTTAAGAAAGCTTTCTGTGGCAGAAGCACAAAAGAAGAAAAGCATCAAAAGTAAATCTGGTGAAGTAATTATGGAAGTGATCATTAAGTGTTTAGACAAAACTTCAAATCAGCGCTCGGCTTCCTGACATGTGGTTAGCATTAGGAGCAACTAGACCACACTCCATATGTCCTGGCCCTGGCGCTACCCCAAGTCCATGCATGCTTGCTCCAATTAAGCCTTCAGATCTCCCACCAGAACATAGATAGAACCTCGGATCCAGAGGACCTGAGGGTCAGCCGCTTCACCTTCGTAATTAACCCAGAAGTTATCGCGATGGTGTTTCTGAGAGATGGTTTTTCATTTGTGTTTCAGCTGCTTAAAAGTCCCAAGACAGGGTAACTCTTGACCTGCACAAGGCTGTTGCTGGCTTCTTAATATTAAAATATTTTATCGTGGAAAATGTCTAACTCCAAGAGAAAGGTCTGTGTGCACCTGTGTGGTGCCAGCTGGCTCCAACGCGTTCCGATCGCAGGTTTGGCTGCCCATCACTCTGACTTCCGACAGGATCGCTCGGATGGGTAGAACTCCTTATGGCCTTTCATTCTCGCCTGCATATTTGAGAGGCCAAGCTCGAACTGTCAAGGGGGATCATTTGAACTGGCACACATTCTAGAATAGTATCATGGCTGAGGCAACATGCTATTGCAGGTTCCTCTGAACATTTATGGAAATCATACTTTGAAATGGTGCCTGATGTTTAGTTTTCATTATTATTATTTTTAAGAAACTTTAAAAATGTATTTAAAATTTTAAAATTTAGATTTATTTTATGTGCATGAGTGTTTTGCCTGTATGTATGTACATCACATGCCTGCCTGGTCCTGAAGAGGTAAGAAGAGGGTATCGTGATCCCCTAGAACTGGAGTTACAGGTGGTTGTGAGCAGCCATGTGGGTCCTGGAACCGAACTCAGGTCCTCTGCAGGAGTGACAAGTGTTCTTAACCTCTTCCCACCCCCCTGTCCCATTTTACTTTTAAGATTATGTGTGTGCATGTCCCTGGTGGGGAGCATTTCAGATACCCACCAGAAAAGGCCTTGGGGCATCCTGGAGCTGATGTTACAGGTAAGTCACACAACACAGGCATTGGCAACTGAAGTTGGGTTCTCTACAGGAGCAATATGCTCTCTCAACCACTAGACCATCTCTCCAGCACCCGGTTGTCAGTATTTTGGTGCTAGAATATGAAGTACCTGAAGTTAAGAGAGGTTTTTATCTGTCCTATTATTTTTCAATCTCTAGACCCTGGCATATGTAATTATGTGTCAGATGGATGGATGGATAGATAGATGGATTTCAGTGATTATGCAATATCTGTTCTCTGCTCTTCAAATCTTAAGACACTGGGAAAAATTATAGATGTTAATCTACTTGTCAGAGATATGTTACTGGATTGAGGCAAAATCCAGCTCCCTCTGTTACAGTTTGGATGTTAAGTATCCTCTTAGAAGGTCTCTAGGCTATTGGGAATGTGTCCTTTAGTGGACTATGGAATGAGTCTTTTCCTCATTCTCTCTTCCACTTCTGGCCTTGAGGTGAGGGGTTTTGCTCTGCTATGTGCTTCCATCATGGGCCACCACAGAAGCAAAACAATGGATCCAACCAGTCACACACTGACACCTTTAGAACTGTAAGCCATGCACAACCCCTTTTCTCTTTCTAAGTTGATGGCTACAAGTGTTTGTGATAGTGACGGGAAGCAGACTGATACGTGTTACAACAATCTCTCTGGTTTCATGGTTTGTACACCTTTCTCTGTTCTTATTGCTCCTCTTCAAAAGAGTTATTCTCGAATAGCAACCCAGAGGTGGAACACAGTCCTATTTCAGGCACTGTCTAGTAAATAGTAAATTAATCACATTGTGTGATCTTCACCCTGTAAGCCAGTAGCAAGGTCAGGTTTATGCTGACCATTGCAGAAGACACACCCCACAAGCAAATAGCAAGGTTCAGGCTGACAAAAGCCACAATGTCTTTTTCCATGAATCATAACTGCATGCAACTGATCCTTTAGCCCTTAGGGTCCATTCATTAGAAAGGCTTTGCGTTTCTTCTTAAAATTTTTTTCCTGTATTTAAAAAAAAATTTTATCTGCATGGGTGTTTTACCTGCATATATGTCTATGAACTATGGGTGTGCAATGCCCGAGAAGGCCAGAATAGGGCGTCAGACCCCCTGAGACTGGACTTACAGACAGTTATGAGCTGCATGAAACCCAGGTCCTCTGGAAGAGGAACTGGTCCACTGCTCTATCACTCCAGCCCTAGGCTTTGCATTTCTATTGCCTTTATTTCCACGAAAAGTTGTCTTCAGCTGTTCTGGGAACAATGACCCCCTAAACTGCCCTAAAACCCTGGGCACGGTGGAACAGCTGTGGAGATGTTGGGAACAACATGTGGCTGTGTTGGGTCCCTCCCTTTCATGGCGCCCTGCCAGCTGGCCCCATATGCCCTATGGGGACACACTTCTGACATCAGGGCTTCGTTACCTGTAGAGGTGTGGGAGCCTTGTAGGAGGGAGCAGGTCTGAGAAGCCCCAGGGCATTTCTATAACTCGAAGTGGAACAGTGGCCATTCCTCCTTGGTTCCATTGAAACTTTGGTAATGTGCCTTCTAAGTTTTCATTTACCTCATGATTATGCAGATTGGCTCAATCACAGGCCTGTGACCCTTCCCTGGACAGTTACTTCAGGTATCTGCAGAATTTTCAAAATCTTCTGGCCAGTCTGAGTGAACCCAAGTAAATACTCAGCGTAGCACCACCTTCCCAGTAGTTGGCAGGAGACCTTGTCATGGATTGGCTGAAGCGGGAGTGTCATGGACCCAGCTATCTATCTGTCCTGAAGTCCATTCAGGAAAGAAATGCTTATGGTGAGTCTGATTTGGTTTTGATGACTCTGTATCAATTTTTCATGTCTGAGGCATTCTTTTCTAAATTCTCACAAACCATCCACTGAAAAACCCATCGTACAAGAATGTGTGTAGCTGGGTCCCTTAAAATGACTCCCAGGCCATCATTCCCAAGAAATCTGACTTCCCTAATATTTGGAGAACTCAATACTATCTAAACTACATCTCTCTGGCTAGCTTCTCTGGCTGTCCTCCTCAAATTATCTTAGGGAACTTACTTATTTACTCAGGATGTATGTGTGAGTGTGCCCATGCCACAGTGACATGTGGCAGTCAGAGGACAACGTGGAGCTTGGCTTTCTCCTTCTACCTTGGTTTCCAAAGGAGAAACTGGTCAGCCTGGCAACAAGCACCTTTACCTGCTAAGCCATTTGCAGCCCCTTCAATTATCCTAGTAAGCATAGTTTTTCAAGTGAATCTTATTTTAATAAAACACTGAAAATAGAAGGGTTTTTAAAAAAATATATTTGAGAGGAGCATCAAAAAACAAAACCACCACCAACAAAAACTTGTTGGAATGCAAGTCTCCCTAGACACCAAGTGAGACACTGTGTACAATTTGACTTATACAAACGTCTCAGAAGCTAGAATCATGGCATGTGTATTAGGAGAGTTCTCTGACGCTGAGTCCAAATGCAGACCTGGATAATTCAGAGGAGCCAGGACCAGCTGCTTACCATGGCTTCTCCCACGTACACTTGACTAAAATGCTTTGTTGCTGGCTGATATGGTTGCAATTTTCTACTATGCCATGCCTACTATCTGTCACAACTGAATGGATAATGATGTTTTTGTCTGGATTACTATGATATGAGATGGGGCATGTAATATGAAAATGCTTTAAGAAATAATGCAGAGAAAATACCACAAGACAGTGGAGCATGATTGGGATGTTGGCCAGTAGCCTTCGGTTCAGTTTTTCTTTCTTGTGTATGTAGCACTGTTACAGAATGTCTACTCTTACATGAGTTACATTCAAGCAAAGGCTGTGTGGGTTGGGCTTGTGGAAGGAGCCCTGTAGCTCCTTCCCTGAGTTTTCAGACAAGCAAGTGAATGCGGCATATGTACGGACCAGAAGAAACCCAATGCTCTTCCACCCAGAGCTTAAGGCAGGCTTTCATTTTGTTGTATTTCATCTTTGTAGGACAATGAGTGATTTTTATTTTTGTTTTAGCCAATATTTTCAAGATGCACATATGTTGTACTTTTAATCACATAAAATGTTGATACCATTTGGTTTTTTAAAATGGATTTCTTCTGGGGGTTGTTGTGGACTGAATGTTTGTGTCCTCCTGAAATCCATATGTTGTTGATCTAATTCCCAGTGTAGTTGGATTGGAGATGTGGCCTCTTAGGAAACCATTAACATTAAATGAAATCTTAAGAATAGGGCCTTGATGCAGAGACGATGGTGTGTACCTGTAACTACAGCATCCAGAAGGCTGAAGTAGGAGAATTATGACTTCTAGGTGAGCCTGGGCCCCATAGTGAGTTTGAGGCCAGCCTGAGCTACACAGTGAGACACTGTCTCCAAAGGGGGATCTTGTGAGCACATAGCAAGATGGGTGGCTCCCTGAAAACCACAAAAGAGAAGCCACCAAAAGCCACAATTTCCAGGACGCTGTTCTCCAATTGCAGTCTCCATAACTGAGAGAAAACACCTAGTATTTAAACCACCCATTCTATAGAGCTTCCCTATTACAGTCTGAGCTGGCTAGGGCCAGGGCGACAGGCCAGCAGTCAAATCCGGGTTGTCCCTAGAGGAGACAGTCAGAACATGGGACTGGGTGATTATTTGGTGACTAGGCACAGTTGCTAAGACTAAAGCCACATCCTTAGTTTGGGAAGAAGATTCCCAAGGAAGG